TGAGATCATCATGCTGCAAAAGGCTATTTCAACAATAGTAAAGGATCTGTTATGTCCCGGTTGCCAGGAGAAACAAAGTGGAACAGCCAAATGGCATGCCTTTTTATAGTTCAGAAAAGAGTTGAGTTTTACATGAATATTATAGATGAGCTCAAGAATGGCATTCAGGACAACATAATCAAAATAACCAGGAACATACAGCTGTGCAAAGAGACGAAGCACCTGTCAGCATGTAAAACCAACAGAAGCATTCCAGAAGGAGCACACCACAGTTTAAGATGTAACACGAGTGGCTATTTACAATACGTAATGAAGATCTGAAACCATATGCAAAATTGATCAAGTCTAGCTTTGAAGATTGTGTGATTCTAGTTTACTTACTAGCCTATATTACATAAACAATACAGGGAGGTGAATTTAAATGCAGAACAAAAAGTATTTTTGATAGTGGGTTTTGCAAGAACTTTTGCCATGGATACTTCAGTTCCAGATGCATGAAAGTCCCAACCTTAAGTTGTTCCTTTAAAGTTATGAGGATGATTGTAAAATCAGCAACCTTGGTGGCCTTCATTGAAAAAATACTTAGATTTGAAACCTGTTACATTTGCGACTCATCTGCAACTATGTGAAACATCTGCTTCAGTAGAAAGAATGTTTCTTGAATTTTAGTTTCATCTAGAATAAACAGGAGTGGAGAAAGTAGATAAATTTGTAATGTGCTATAAAATGCTTACTGCCCAAGCAGGTGAAAAAGAACTAGATTCTGAATCCGAATAGTGAAGAACAGAGTGAAGCGTAATGTGAAGTGCATATTTTTTGTTTACCTTTCACGGATTAAATATTATTTAAGTGTATCAAAAGCAAGATTTTTTTTTTGTTTTCAAGAATAAAATTTTATTTTTAAATATCTTCATTTTTTCATCTTTTTTTCCTTACAACTGTATTTCACTTTTCAGTAACTTGCTTTGAATGTGTATAAAGGATGGTATTAATTAGTAGCCAGTGTATATATCTACACAAGACATTTACTGCAGAGCAGACTAATTAGCTCTGCAGTAAATGTCTTGGCATCTACAAGTGTGGCCCTTGTAGGCCTCAGGAATATAATAAACTTTGTAGTTTATGGCTTGTCCTTGTAAATTCAAGTGCTGTCCTGCTGCAGAGTTTTTTACTTTGCAGCAATGCACATATAGGTGCTGATACAACACAGCTGGCTGGGGCATGAGGGTGCTTCATTGTGGGGGCTGCCTGCTGACTAGTGCTGCACTAGAGCACCTTTATGCCCCAGCCATCCCCTCTGCAGCACGTTGAGTTAGGTTAGAGCAGCCCCAGGCTGGCAGACTGACTCCCTGGGTCCCCTGCCAGGGTTGCTCCAACCCAGCTCAATGTGATGCAGTCCAGGGCACATGTGTAGCACAGCACCTGGGAGCAATACTATGCTGGAGTTTGTGTCACTTCAATATGCATGTGTAGACGTGCCCAGTAAGTATATGTGTTAGCCTAGGATCTGCAAATTTTAAGCACTATATAACACTAGAGGTTTAGGTTCTTTGCCTTCTGGATGCAATCTTTATATGCCAAAAATATGTAGGGAATTTTTGAAGGATGTTGGAGAATAATAATTACACTTGAAATGATAGACATGACTTTGAGGACCTGCTCTCTTACAGACAGATCTCTTCTGTATGAAAAATTGACTTCCAAATTAAATGCCAGTGTCCTAAAATGCACTGAGGATTATTACAAAGGTTTTATGCATAATTTACCAAATTTAGAACTGATTTCAATTTGCTGTCATAAAATCTCTCAATCATAATTTAATATTAATGCAGACTAAAATGAAACAGTTTTGTGGGATTTATTATCTTCCATCTATCTAGTCTGCTATTAAAGGAGTGGTATATTAAAGACTATATTGGAATTGGTAATACTTACTTCTAAAGAGGACTTTGAGATGAGGAAAAAACCTTTTGAGTTTTTGGTATAGAATAATTATGTATGCTTGATTAAAATATGAAGTTACCCATACACATTTTATAGGCAAAGATAAGTAGTTATACATACTTATAATTGAATTGTAGAGTAGTCTTGATCTTGAAAAATCTGAAATGATTTGAAAACTAAATTCCTGTATATGAAAGTAGAGAGAACACTGTAACAGCTTGTACTACTAATCAGAAACATTCTGATTGCTTTGCCCATCAGAACATCCACTGATGACGAAGTGGTATCCCAAATATGGGTGTTAAAAGCTTAATGTCAGATTTCTAACCAATAAAAATGTCATTTATAATATTATGAGAATATAAAAATAATTGAAATCAAACATAATTTTAAAGTGATGTGATGTGATATATGTGGGTCTTGAGGAGACCCTAAGGTCTCCTATATCCCTACTGTAGTGTAAAATATGAAGAAACAGAAAAAAGGTAGAACAGATTAGATATGAACTAACTTGAAAAGCTTTGGTTTTGATAAGGGTCTTTGAGCAGTGTATTCTACTTTTCTCCCCAGATAATTGTTTCTGTTTTTAATTCCCTGATGATATTTGTTTTAGAAGGGTCTCTTTATTGGGCATGAAAAAGTATTAGAAGCAGAGGTGACCTGAGCAGGGTGTGGGGCCTAAGGCAAATCAGCCTGTGGTGCCCTGCTCCGGGATGTAAGGAAGCTGGGACGGGGTACCGAGCAGCCGGACATGCTGGACTGGGGGGAGGGGGAGGGGAGGAGGGTGCTGCTGAGCGGCTGGATGTGAAGCTGGCAGCAGCAGCCACTCCACCCAGCTCCACAGGGGCCCCCAAAGAAGGGGGCTGGGGGCAGTTGCCCCAGTTCACCCCCCCCCCACCCCCGTAGGGATGGCCCTGATTAGAAGTATTAGAGCCACTTCTCCTCTTTCTCCTTTCCCTTTGCAGGCATCTGTCTGTATCACCTTTGTTTAGTTTCAGCTTCACGAATTGTTTTTTCTGGTACAAATTTGTGCACAGAGAAGAAAATGGGTGTCCCCCTTCTATCACTCTTAGGAGAATGTTGTCAGGTAGGGCATGAGCCTCAAAATACAATGGCTCCCAACACAATGGTGTACTGTCTATTCATAAACTTCTGTGAAAGACACAAAATAAAACTGGAAAAAATACTTTTTCTAAAGTCATTTGGGGTTACTTCTGAAAATGAATTTTTCAATATTAATGACCTTTCAAATCCAATGTATCCTAGTATCTCCTGTAAAACAAAAAAGGTGTTAGGACAGCAGTCCTTTTAGCTTGGAAAGAAGCTACCTGAGACATTAATTATACATGTTTTTCTTCTTTGGAATAGTGAAGTACACTATTGTCCCCTCTAAATTTCCAGAAATGACACGTACAGCAGTGCAGCTGTGAGGAGGTTCTGATTTTAAAAAACTTTTAATTCATGAATGGAGTCAGTCAGTGAGGTAATGTTTGTAAGGCAATAATAAATATATTGGCCTACTACAAAATATGTGGCATATGATTATCACATGAAGCAACGGGTCAGGTAAGAAAAAAATTATTCTAATCTGAATTTCTGGTAATTTTAGCAGACTTGTGTTGAACCCTTCACTATGCATTCCTCTTTTAAAAATTCTGCCTGAAGTGTTTGGATTCAAAGTTATCATTACTAAAAATACTTTAATCTAGAAAAAAGTACATATTTTTTCAATGCACTTATATTCTGAAACCTTGTTCCCTCTCCTTTGTATTTTAGGTCCAGTTGTTTATGTCTTGGACCTTGCAGATCGACTGATCTCAAAAGCATGTCCGTTTGCTGCAGCTGGAATAATGGTGGGATCCATTTACTGGACAGCTGTCACTTATGGAGCTGTGACAGTAATGCAGGTACTGATTGAACTGCCACTGCAGGGAATCTGGTAGTTTGTAGCCAGGAGCCCAGCGCTGTGGGTTGGATGACCTCTCTTGACAGGCCAGATCCAGTTTGCATGCTATGTTTGACACCAGTGCTGTAAATGATTAAGGGTCCCAGGGAAAGGGAATGATAGCTCAAAGAAGAGAGGTTGAGATGCTGCATCCTTTAAGGTAGGAGAGGGATTTAGGCAGGAGAGAGGAATGAAGACTTTGCATTCAGTTGGGATGAAGGTCTTGAAGAAGCTGACAGTAAATTCTGCAGGCTTATCTTTGGACTAAGAGTTAATTTACTAATGTAGAAATATTGTCAGTGGTAAATTCAGCTAAGAAAATTAGTGTTACAGGCTCAGGTGAATGGTCTAACCATTAGTAATTTTGGAAATTCAAGATAGCTCTGTTTACATGATTGGAAACATTTGTAAAAGTACTACATGGAGTTCCACTAGTTATCTTGACAGTCGTTTCTGACCAACCATTGTAGCCATCCTGTTGAATTGTTGCTTTAAAAAATAAATCTGATTTTAAATGGTCTGTTTTGTGTTTTGTGCCAAATTAAATTTGCCAGCTTTGCATTTGTTTTGTTAACACTTTGGGATAGCTGTTATCAAAGAACTGCTTTAAATGATTGTTGTATTTTGGACTGTTCTATTTTGTCCAGGTCAGGCAAAAGTCTACGCTTTCTAGAATTGTATCAGTGATTGTGTTAGATTTTGTCAGTTTTGTTGCACAAGACCCAGAGAACAGCTACACTTCTAGAAAACTGCTATCAGCTGACACAAACATCTAAGATAATAAGTCTATAAAACTGCATATTTGAACAAGTGCTTACATCTCGGCAAATAACTAAATCTGAGTGGAGCTGAATCTTCTGAATACGAACTGTTTTCCGTAGAAGGGTTGAAGTGTTGGAACAGTGATGTGAAAAAATACAGAACTCTTTTATTTTAATTATTGGTTCTTGGACCATTCAGTAATGGAATTATATACTTAAATATTTTACTTTAAAACAGTTGGAGTATAAGCATAATTGCATATTGTACTGCATAGTATAAACAACTGATCTTTTGTTTTAAATGTTGATAATTTACTTGACCAGATATGTATTACTGCTGCCCAAATACTGTACCTCATTCTGCAGCGCACAGAGAAGGACTACCCATTACTAATGTTACACCCTCTGGCACATTCTGCTTTTAAATAGTAATCATCAGTCATCTTGGGGTCCATTAACTGAATCAAAGAATTCAACTGTCATTTAAATTGTAACATAGGAAGAGGTTTTAATCCCAAGTCTTTATATGTACCCTTGGGAGTTTTAGTTTTAACTTTAAATGTATGTGAAGGAGAGATTATATGTAATCATCACTCAGACTGCATAGAAGTCTGAGATGGTAAGTCTGGGGTAGTTAGTAAGTTGAGTAACTCACTATTGGAAGATGAGTTTTTCATGAACTGGAACTGGTAGCTCTCCAACAGGAAATTTGATAATCAGGTGAGAGCACCAAATGAGAACTTGAAGAATAATCTTGTTTATTGTATCTGATGTTTTTAAGTCCCAGTTGCATGGGCCATTTCAAACTAACCAATCCAGTTTTTCAAAACTTGACTTTTTTTTTAAGAATATGCAATATACAGTAGCCATCTCTCATGCATGTCTTAACCATTAAGTAAAATTTCTTTTACATTAACAGGTTGTAGGTCATAAAGAAGGTCTTGATGTCATGGAGAGAGCTGATCCATTATTTCTTTTAATTGGACTTCCCACCATTCCAGTCATGCTGATTTTGGGCAAGATGATTCGCTGGGAAGACTATGTGCTTAGACTATGGCGCAAATATTCTAACAAACTGCAAATTCTGAACAGTATATTTCCAGGTAATGCAATGAATTTTAGCTGAAAATCAAGTTTGGATTCTGCCCCTGTAAGGTAGGAGGCTGAAAGGTAGTTCTACACGCCTTCCCCCCCCGCCCCCACCTTTTTTTTTTTCTTAAGACAAAGTTTGTAATTCCTTCCCTCTTGCCCTTTGTTTAGTCTATTATAGATTGTAAACCGTTTATGGAAGGGACTTATTCTGAGTTTGTACAATGAGGGTACAGCCTACTATTTTTAATTATTGTATTGTATAAAGCTAAAGGTAATGCCCAGAAATATTAGTGAGGGATGCTTTTGAAATACTTGTTTAATTGAATAGAACTAACTACAGTCAAGTATTTACATTTTTACATTTACAGTATTTTTAGTGCTTTCTCCTCTCTAAATGACCATATGATTGTTCTGTAGGGATTGGATGTCCTGTTCCTCGTATTCCAGCAGAGGCTAACCCTTTGGCAGATCATGTCTCCGCTACTCGTATTCTGTGTGGAGCTCTAGTCTTCCCAACTATTGCTACAATAGTGGGCAAGCTGATGTTCAGCAGTGTTAATTCAAACTTGCAAAGGACAATCTTGGTAAGATTATTTTAATGTTACTTTTTAGAAATGGCAATAAAAGCTTGTGGGAGTAGAAGAAAAGAAGTAGAGGTAAACTTCTTCTTAGCAGAGTTTTAACATGGCTTTTGATTAAGGGCAGGTGACTTTTGATGAGGCGAATACTGAAGACTCCTCATCTGTATAGTGTACTGGACGTACCACTATAAATTCACTTATGATTCTAGATAGCCTGCACCCATGATTCTAGATGGGGCTGGTCTAAACAGAGGAGCAGTAATGGGGAAGGAGGATGCCATGGGTGGCTTGTAGGAATGGTAAAAATCCCAAGTCTGCAGATTTTATACATAGGATCAGCCTTTTTATTGCTCTTTGATTATGGGATGCAGTAAATGAATCTCTTACCTGTTTGATTCCTGGAAGATTTCTTTCCCAAGGGCTGCTAGTGAAAGGGGAGCCAGGAGTTTCTGTTTATACCCCTTTTTTCAGACTAAGGATTACATTCTTTTGCTATGCCTAGTGTGTAACTCAAGTGCTACGTTTATCTCTTTCACTGGTTCCTTTCTTGCTACTAGAGTCCACCCTTTTCATTCCCAATAAATAAGTTGCCCAAACACTTTTTCTATTGTATGTTCCTTCTCCTATTTGGGAAGGCTATGAGCAGTGTTGTAATAACCATTGCAGCAGATTATGGAAGGCCGTTTAACATCTCTTCCTATTTTGAGATTTGTAGCAAACCTAACTACTAAAAATTTTTAATGAAATGGGTTTGTTGTTTTATAGAAACTGAATTTGTCTTTCTCTGTGCTTGCCATGAGCAAAAGGGAATGCTCTCGAGCAAGTGTATTTTTCAATGTCTAATTAGTAATTAGTGTATGTTATTTTGGGAAAAACATATCAAAATTTGACTTCTTTCTTTAATATTGGATTGCAAACTTTGTTAAACCTTTTAAGTGAACAAAAACTTCCAGAAGGATTTATAAAACCCATCATGTAATCCTTTTATGCAATATGAAAAGTATACAGTAAACTTTGCCTCAAGTCTTCATTTGAATTTAATCTAATTTGCGTAATTTCAAATCAAATGCTGTTATCTGAATGTTTTCCCATATACCACTGTGGGTGCACATGCATCTCAGGCACTTGGGAATGGAGATGTTTTTGCCCTAGCAGAGCCTGTGCAAAGGTGTGTACTTGTTTCCTTGTGAAGCACACTGAGAGCATCCAGGGCAGCGTGATTCCAGCACTTCTGTTCCTTTCAGTTGCCTTGCCTCAAGACAGAGCTTCTGCAGTCTCATCCAGACCACATTTGGGTCTGTAGCCACCCTCAGAATATGCTTTATTCACTTTTATCCCTTAGTTTTGCACTTTTACAGGGGATTGCTCTAATTTCTGTGTCCCAGTCTGTCCTAAAGTGAGACTTGGAAGCTCCCCTTTTCTAAAATATGTGGCTTATCCAGTAGTGAGGCTCACTTGGTATCCTGACTTTCAGTCTGGGTACAGCAAGTGCTTCTACTGTTCAGAGGAATCTTGGATCCCTGGAAAGCACATCTTGTTTGCTATCAGTCAGGGTAGGAGTCTGAAAACAGTTTCCAGGTTTACCTCCTATGTAAAATTATGCAGTCAGTTTTGGTGCCAGAAAAGGTTTTCTTCCTGTAAGGAAAGACGTGGATCTTCCTATTCCAAAGGAAGGTCTTGTCCCAGGGACTCTTTGCTCTCTTCTCATCTCTACCGCTTTTGAGACTTCAAGATGGACTCCAATAAACAGATCCAAGACTTCTACAGATCCCAGTGAAGCTCAGCAACATGCCAGTACCAACACCCAATTCTGGAGTGTCCACATTTGTGGAAAGTTGAGTGCTGAGGAGCTTGTTGGTTTCTCCACTGACTTCTAGTAACCATGGATCTGACAAACACTGGCTGCTCTACTAACACACAACTCACTTCTACAGCCTCCTGCCACGCTATTTCATGAAAATTTACTTCAGGCATTGCATGACCTAAGACTCAGACTCTCTAGTGTTCGTTGGTACTGAAGCTAGGGGAACCGCTGGTCTATCAGGTACCAGCTCATACCACTTAGGGAACCATCCCTAGGTCCAGAGCTGTTAGCAGAAGTGTGGAGGTTTTCTTTCACTCAGAAGATGACCAGTTCCACATACAGTAGAACATGGATCATTTTGAATCTGGGTTGTTTATAACCCACTTAATTCACAGAGGACTGCAAAATTCAGGATGAGCTGCTCAGCTGTTTGCTGCGGCTTTTGCTGCAAAGGGTGCCACTCCTCTGATCAGCTGATACTCATTTTGTAGTCATGTGCAGCAGATGAGAAGTTGGTGCCCTATGAAACAGAAGTTGAATGAAAAAGCTAGAGCATTTCAGTGGTCCTGCATACCTATTTGTTGCACCTCTGTATCCCTCTAATTATATCACAAACCCATATCTTTTAGGGGCTGGGTTAGGGTGGGTGAGGAACCTTACCCCATGAAGTATCTACTGTATTACACTTATGCCTTTACATCCCATTGTCTCTGGCATTTGCACCATCACAGAGGGAATTTTTGGCTACGTTGACTCAATCCTGTTTCCATATGCTACAGGAGCTGCCAGCTATTTGAAAGATACCACAGATTTCCTGAAGAAATTAGCTTCCATTGGCAAGATTCTAGCTAACACCATGTTAGCTACTGTGGATGTAAACCAACAGGCACCCCTCTCCCCCAACCTCAAATGGCATCTCTCAAGAAATAAACTACCTCTTTTCTCACCAAGGCACCGGATCTTGCACTAGATGCCAGCTGTGCCCCCTTAACACAGAATACTGTCAGCACAGACCATTATAACATCTAAGGTTCATTTACATGCACCTCTATCAATGCCATATATTCCATCACCTGCTTACAGTGCCCTTCTGCTTTTTGTATTGGACAGATGAGGCAATCCCTATGTATAAGAAGGAATGAACACCAAGCTGACATCAATACCAAAACGTCAGTCAAGTCTGTGGCAGAACACTTTAACCTCTATGGACATTCCATCACTGACCTCAGTGGCTCTTGTTAGACAATAAAACTTTAAAAAAAATAACTAGAACAGGAAATTTCAAGCAAGAAATGATCCACATGCTGGATTGTGTTAAGTATGGTCTACTCTAAACTGAGGGTGTTCAAGGTGCCTTTAATTTCACAAGTGTTCATACCCCACCTTGTCCTTTCACATGCACATGATCAAGGCTTCCTGGAAATCTCATGGGCTGTTTCTTCCCCTAGCTGAAAGATTAAATGTTACCATGATTTCCACCCATAACTGCCTAATTAAATGGTGGGCTGTATTAGTATACTGTAAATCACTCAGGTGGACTGGCCAGTGGTGATCAAAGTTTGCTCCACTGCAGCCCAAGCAATCTTCTCTATAGAATGTCTTTGAACTCGTATATTTACAAGCCAGCTACCCTCTCATCCAGTCCTTTACCAAGCACTGCACATCACTGGTTCTGGATTTGGTAAATCTGTCCTAGTCATGTGTGTGACTAGAACTCCCACACCTTCTACCAGGTCCTGCTTTGGAGTCACCCCGAGTGGAATATGCATATGAACGAGCAATCAAAGGAGACAGAAGAGTCACTGGAATTCCTTGAGATTGATTGATTGTTCACATATCCACATTCTGCATCCTGCCCCCTTTCTCTTGCTGCGAGTGCCAAGGACTCTTGCATTCTACAGATGAAAGAAAACAGGTCTAGGAAGAGACATTACCCTTCATACTCTTAGAATGAGAGGAGGCAGGGCATGTGTGTGTTGTGCAGGTACTGCTAGGGCAAAGAAGTCTCCATGGTCAGTTCTTGAGACATGTAGCCACGAGAATGTTCATATGGACAACATTATCTCAGAGAACTCTAGGAACTGGTAAGTAACTCCTGCAATCAAAATAAATTGTTTTTTACAATAAGTTTAGAAGAAAACTTGATAAGACATTATATTGAAAAACTAGTTTTTCAAAATATTTCTTTTTATTTCAGGGTGGGATTGCTTTTGTTGCTATAAAAGGAGCTTTTAAAGTTTACTTCAAACAGCAGCAATACTTGCGCCAAGCTCACCGCAAAATTTTAAATTACCCTGAACAAGAAGGAGCATAAAGCTGTGATCTCCAGATGTTGTACAATCTCATCTACCAGATTCTCTCGTGTTGTATTGATTCCATCATTATTGCACAGTAGTGGAGAATTGTGATAAGCTGCTGCGCCTATTTTTTTTCTTCAAATATAATAAAGCACTTTCTTTTGTCAGTAAATCCTTTCAGAAATCACTGAATTTAAGAATGTGATTGATTTTCATTATTTTTGTGCATTTCTTTTATGATAGGCAAGCATCTGAATCATCGTCTTCACACCACTATGCTGAACTTGAAAAAAAAAATCAGCAAAAGCCCCAAACAGAACTAAAGTATAAGATGCAGTGTGCAGTTTCTTAATGTATTAACTGTATCTGCATACCTTTTATTACAGTCTTTGCACAATATTTTCATACAATGGCTATCCAGTTCAGCCTAAGGACAGCATGAAAGGAATCTCCTAAAGCAGTGGAGCTCAACCTTTTAGTGGTAGAGCTGGTGCTTGTGGGCTAACATGCCTCTCCAGTAGAAGGTGGGTTGGGGAAGAGAACGAGGAGGAAGGTGGCTGCCTGCCATAGGGAAGGAGAGAGGGAGAGAGCAAGCAGCATGGCATGGCACAGGGCAGGGAAGGGGATATGCAGGGCCAAACTTTGCTATTGATCCTCTGTACGGTGGGCCAGATCCAGTAACTTTGGGGGTTGAATCCAGCCTGCAGGCCATAGGTTAAGCACCACTGTTCAAAAGGAATTTTGCTTGAACCTTATATTGCTAAGGAAAATTATTTGGACTTCAGTCAGTAAGGATTCCCTTGGTCATAGCTGAAGTTACAAATTAGATGTGAAATAAAAAGTCTAAAATATTTTCATTAATTGGATAGCTAAGCAGAAGATGAATTGTTTTCTAAAGGGTCCACATAGCCAACTTTGCCACCTAAAGTACTAGGTGTGAAAATGAGCATGGCTGTTGATTAATTTTGTTATTGTTTGTAGTGCCTAGTATTGCTCTCTCACACTCTTTTCCTTCCTATAGAATAACTAGTATTGTATAGTATTAGCTCCATCTATTTTCTATTTACTAGAAAAATTATTTACCTGGAAAGCGAGTTTCAATCACTTATTTTTGTAATTAGTTAAAATGTTAGAAAAGCTGTTTAGTTCCCCTTTTTCAGGTCATTTTAATTATGCAGTTATCTGTTCTAGTAGAAAATGCCAGAAAATTGAAAAATAGCAGTGGACATCAGGGAAGCATCTTGGCTCTTTAGTCTGACAAAAGATTTATCCTTTAGTTCTTTTTTTATCTGTAATAAACTAAGGTAATTGCTTGCAGCCACAGAGTGTACTCTTAAAAAAAAAAAAAAAAAAAAAAAA